AGCAGGATCTTGAGTTTTGTACTCCAAGCAGATTTTTTTTTTTTTAAGCTTGTTTTTTGTAAACTTGAGGAATTCCTGTTTCCCAACAGGAGTATGCATGGCAAGAAGATGTTTCTAGTTAATGCTGACTTTCACTGAAGGATATTATCAAGTGTGTGGCTGGGAGTAGTTTCATATTTTCTTTAGTGCAGATGGTTTTTACACTGAATTTCGCTTTGTAAACTTCAGTGTGTTTAAAATGCTAACTGTTAACATGTCAATCCATACTACTAGCTTAGACTTATTAATGTGGTAAATCTTGGTAAGTCTACGTTCCTTTAAATATTTAACCCTTGTCGTTTTTTTTTTCAGTATATTCATGTTATTGAGTCATCATCAGACTTGATTGCATGCTTATATAAAGCAGTGCAGGAAAAGTTGATTTTATGCAGTAATACCAGGTAAATGTGATGTTGATGAAGTAGTTAATGTAATGGGTTGTTTTCAGACCTTGTTTTATTAAAGCACAAACTGAAGTGTGATTAGTTTCTCCATACTGAAGACATGGCTAGGTAGCAAGCAAATTAAGTAGCTCAGAATAATGGTGTGAAATGTCTTGGTGCCAAAGTATAAATGAAGGAGCAAACAAGCTAAAAGCTGTTTGATAGGTGCAAGCCACCTTCTGGAAAGGTAAGATCAGTGCCGTGAGTTCATAAACTGTTACGTGATTTCAGTTTTATAAAAACAAAAAAGTTTACAAATGTGTATATGAAAATGTAAATTACAAAATGTACAGAAAAATTTAAAACAAAAAATGAGCAGAAAATATTGTATTTTTTTACATTGTATGTAACTTTTGTAGGTATGTTGCATGTAGATAGTAATTTATTGTGTACTCTCTCTGTTATAAATACTGTACATCTGCAGACTTGTTACTGCAAGTCCTGCACCTGGAAGCTCACTTCTCAAATGGAGTACTTTGGTTGCAGCTAACAAACCTACTCAGTCTTGTTTCAGTTGAGAACAAAAATAAACTAAGTGCTGTATTTGTTAATTAGTGTGAGTTATGGTCGGTTACTGAAAGCTTTTGTCTTGCTTTTTCTTTCATCTAGCTTGTATGGTATTGTAGCTGTGCGCCAGGCTCCCCAGAAGGTCCTGGTAAGCAGCTTGCAAAGAGAAGATTTCTGCACGGCTTGCTACTGGATGAGTAGCAAGCAACTCTACTCAGTGTTGCTCCTGTCGGGTTTAGAGGCTTGTGTGAGGTATTACCCAGCTGCTGTTGGACTGATTGCACATCTGGCAAGTGGGAGCTCCCACTAGTGGTTGAGTGGGGTTACTGCAGGCAAAAGTCAGATTTATCACAGACTGGTTTGAATTGGAAGGCACCTGAAAGCTCATCTAATTCAACCCACTGACACAGGCAAGGTTGCTCCAAGTCCCATCCAGCCTGGCCTTGAACACTGTCAGGGATTGGGCAGCCACAGCTTCTCTGGGCAACCTGTGCCAGTGCCTCATCAGCCTCACAGGAAAGAACTTCTTCCTAATACCCAATCTAAATCTCCCCTGTTTCAATATAAGACCATTCCCCCTTGCCCTGTCCCTACAGGCCCTTGCCAAAAGTCCCTCTCCAGATTTCTTTTTGTCCGCATTAGGCACTGGAAGCTGCTCTAAGGTCTCCTTCTCTTCTTCAGGCTGAACAAGCCCAGTGCTCTCAGTCTGTCCTCATAGGAGAGGTACTTCAGCCCTGGATTTGTGTTTACTGCTGTTCCTAATCTTCTGAATGAAACCTGGGCTTGGGATGTGTCTCCATCTTGGTAGCCCATAAATGCCTATGATATCTCATCAAAGGCAAACTTGAGCTCGTTTCCTTTCAGTCTCATCCTGCCCATTGTGTCAGAGTATTTCAAAATGGTGCATGTGTTGCAAAAACTAAGAAGTTAGGGGCTGTAAATGGATCTTGGTGGAAAGATGTTCCTACTCTTAGAAAGCTGGGGATAAATAGGATGCTGTGGGGCCGAAAGTGAGCACTGCTGTTCATTGGAAGGGAGCATGTTGGGGAAGAATAGGGACACTGGGACTGTTGAAACAATATTCTAGTTGTAATTATTTTTTTTCTTTATGGCTTTCATAGCTACTTCTTTAGAAATAGAGGAACACACTACAAGGCTTCTCAGAACTGATGTGGGATGGGCATTTGATATCACTAAGAGTTCTGTATGAAATCTGCTTCTAAAATAACTCATGTACCCCAGAAAGTCAATTATAGAGTGGAACTTTGAAATGTGCTATAGTTCTTACAGAGCAGTGGCTTCCTTGCTGTCCATTGTGACCACTTTGTTGCTGCAGTACCTTTCATGTTCAATGTTCAGCTTCTACTTCAAAGGTGCCCACTTTGGTCACTTCAGTACAGCAACCGCCTTGCTGTGGAGCTGGCAGCTAATGTGTGTGCTGTGTAGGTGGGCTGTTAACAAAGGTAGGAAGCCATGGGCAATATCCCTAGGTTTACTAACAACTTGTGGGATGAGTCTGTTTAATAAAGCTTTAGGTGTACCGTTCAGCCTCTTTCAGGTTTGTCCCAACATGAAAAGAAATCTGCTTGCAGGAGCATTGTCAGGTTTACTTCTGTGATTTGATAATTTAGGCTCAACTTTGATTTTGCTGGGTCTGATAGCTGTGCATCCCTCAAAAGAGGTTCACCTGGCTTTGTTCAAAGAATGGGGCTTTTGGTGGTTGGCTTGATTTTTAACAGCAGAGGTGTGTGTTGTTTTTAAATGCTCTTTTGGGCTTTCTTATACCACAAGGTGAAACTTTGAACTCTTGCAGTCTCAAGAGTTTAAGTACATGCTCATTTTCATAACTGCCTCGTCAGTAAGACTGGTTTAGGTGGTGACTGAGGGGGCTGTAAAGGAATGTTTAAGTGGGGAAGACATCCCCTGGGACAGCACCCAGTTCTATGGTTTTAGATGAGCTGTGGGATGTTACTCCCTGTGCCTTTGTGAGAGATTTAAATGTAGAGCTGAAGGTTCACATGGGTGTAGATGAGCTTTTCTGAGGGCATCTGGGGATGTTATCTTTCTGCTTACCTGCTCTCCTGTGGCTGATCCCTCAAGGGATCAGTACTGGAACCACTTCAGTTCCTGGTGAATTGTCATTCCATAATTGATGATAATAGACTTTTAAACAGGAAACCTGACTTTTCCACTGCTTGGTTACATAATGTTATCATGATACCAGATAGCTGTTAGGGCTTTGAAGCCAAATCGTTGGTGAACTGGTAGATACTGGGCCAAGACTCAAAAGTCAGAAACCAGCTTCTGCAGTTTCCAGTTTCATGGACATTGCGTAGTTGCTTTAAGGAGGGAAAATGTCAGTCTTTGCGTTTCCAAATATCTAACTCTCAGCTGCTCTCTTCAACTCCCTAAAAACTTAATGCATGTGAGACAGATGGCTCACAAGAGATTTTAAGGATGTACTCCAAGGACCAGCAGAATGTGCTTCGCTAGCATGCACACTTAGAGAGCAAGATCTGTTCTGCTGTGCACAAGTTAATGGATATGTTGACACATGAGCAGCAGTTCCACCACCACTGGAGAGAGACTGGGCAGCAGAGAAAAATGTAAGTGGATGTGTAAGTCCAGCTGAGCAAAGCCTTTGCTGGGTGTTCTTGTTTAACTGAATTGCATACCCACTTCTAAACAGCAGAAGTCATGGTTTAGACTTTAGGTCTCGACTGTCAGGTTTTGACTTCTTGCTCTGAATTCCTATTGTGTAAAAGTTTTTCTGGAAAAGAGTTAGAATATAGGTGAGATAGTATCAAACATATGTGCTGACAAAACTGTTGTTACTGACGAGCTTTTTCACAAAATGGCCACTGGTTTTCCTCAAGCAGAGTACTGAGTAGTATAAACCAAGAGCAGTGGTGCAGGTAAGTATGGAAGTCAGCGAGAGAAACTGCATATGATAATAAAACATCAGTCTAGAAAGTGCTAGCTCTATCTCAGGTCTCATATATGAGCAGATAATCAGTATTACTTATAGTACATGTCACAGCTGTGGTGTGTCACCTAGCCTTACTTCATGGCTTAATCCTATGTCTAGTGTAGTGCATATACTAAAAGGCAAAAGTTGCTATAACAACTGAACAAAATCAATTAGGATAATAAGCAATTAAAATCTCATCCTTAGTGTTGCATAAACATAGCATTTTGCTCATGAAT